AGAAGAGATGCTTGCGTTCTCCATGCTGACAGCCTGGCCTTGGGATCCCAGTCCCTTGAGATGGGGATGATGCCAATGCGTGGGTTTGGATTTCCAGTCGTGTCTCTCCTGGGCTGGAAGTAAACCGAGGGCAGCGCCCAGGCAGAATCCTCCCAGTGCCGTGCAGGCTTTGCTGCTGTTCCCTCACCAGACGCTGCTGAAGGAAGGGCTTGATTAGATAACTGTATTGTGAGCAGCTCCAGCAGCCGTCAGGATGGATAAAGCTCCTGAAGACAAGAGCTGGAAAAGGCCCTCATGACTTCGCTGGGTGTTGAGCACAGGGAAAAGCCACTGGGATGGGTAAGGATTGGAGGAGCAACGAAAGGGGCTGCAGGGGTTGATTTGTAGGTAGATCCAGTTGCCAGCTGGTGTCTCCCACTCAGATGTGGTGGTGGGGGTTGTGCTGGTGTTTGGCATGGCCCTGAGCTGTGCTGTTTGGGGCTGGCGGCGTCACTCTGCCCTTGGCTCCTTGATTTCCTTTATTTATATGTGATTCTTTGTTGTGTTGTTTTTTTTTTCTTTCCTCAGTTGTTGTTTAACTGAGGTTCCTCCTGCAAACTCTGCTTTTCCTGCAGCAGAAATGAGTCATTTGTGCTGTGAGTTCAAGCTGAGACCGATGCTGGAAAACATACATTTATGGTAAACTGTCACAACAAAGGGAAGGGATCTGATTCCTGTTCCAGCACTACAACCAATGCCAAACCTCAGCATCATGTGCGGCATCACACTGTTTTTGCTGGCTGACTACTGACAGCAATTGGAGCTCACTGGGTGCTGCGCCTCTGATTGCACACCTCAAAGGAAAATGCTTTGTTGTTGGACACTGAGCAGTGTTTATCTATCTAGAAGCAATTTTTGTTCCTGGGGATCTGTTCTATCTATTCTCAGTGCGGCTTAGCATCTGCTCAGTGTATTTGTGCAGAGGCTTTGGGGAGTTGGTGTCTCTTGGTTGAAGTGAGCACTGGGGGGTTTTAAACCATTGGTGCTTTCACTGGCGGTGCTGCAGTGGAGGAGGCAGCTCTTGGCATGGGCACTATTGACCTATAGTGGGCTGCAATGGGGAGCATTGATGGGAAGGCCATGTGGGAGCTTGGCCTTGTGCTCACTGGTTTTGCCTCAATTTGCAAATGGTTCTGAAGCTCCACCAGCAAACTGCTCCATCCCCCTGGCCACCCCAATCCCATCTGCAGGACCTCTGTGTTCTGAATTTCAGATTTGGGGGGGGAAACTGAAGTGTTGTGGGGTTGGGAAGGCGATGCAGCTCTTGCAGTCCCACCTTTTCCATCGGGTGCAGAAGTTGCAGATGTTTCATGGGGGCAGATGGTTGTCAGTAGGCTAAATCGTGCTGTTGATGCTGCGTGCAAAATGGTTTTATAATGGCAAATTTGTGTGACTGGTGGCTTTTCCTCCAGGGATCTGGTGCAGGGTTGTAAATCTTTTTCCTCCATGGGATAACCAACAAACAGACCCTGACACTGCTAGGAGTCGGTGGCACCTGGCTTCGGGCTGCTTTGTAGATGAATGGAGATAAATTGCAAGCTTGGAGAGATGGTGTCACACCAAAATCTGCTCCTACTTGTGGCTAGGATAGTTTTCTACCATGACATGATGGCTTTTCTCCTTACAGGGTGGCTGATCAGAGTGCTTAACGCTGCAGTGCAGAGCTCAGACTGGAGTTTGGCTTTTTAGCTTTTAAGTCAACCCAGGGTGGGGACTTTTCTTCCTCCCCATTAATCACATTTGCTTCTGGTGGCTTCAGATGCTCCTCTGAGGTATGTTATAGAGTCTGATGTTTGCTACAAGTGCAGTGTGAAATTGGGAGGGGTTGGGAGCAAGAGGACTCTGCTCAGGTTCTTAACTTCTTGGAGGCCTGGGGGTGGGAGCAGAGTCGGGATCATCAAATCACAGCATCACAGGTTGTACAGCAGGGCTGGGGGATGCTTGCCTATCATCAGGGCTCTGACTTTGGATTGCATGGTTGGGAAAGAACAGAAGCTGCACTGGTGCTTGAGCCATGTATAAATTCTGCAAATTAAAGCTGTTATTGCATTTGAGGTTTGGGTTTTCTCCATTGCTGTAGGGCTGGAGTGTGTTGGCACAGGTTGGAGTTTGGGAAGAGCTTGCGTGTCTCCTGCATGCAGCTGAGCATGAGGCAGCAGCAATTTCTCTGGTTCCCAGGCTGTGTGTTGGTGGTTTAACGGTGTGCTGAGCACCTAAGCTGCCAAATAGTTCTGTGACAGCAGCAGTGATGCATTGCTGAATGAGACACAGGGTCTCTCCCACCCATTGCCTTCTGTTGTGATGGCACATTCAATCCCCACATGGAAACTTTCCCTCCCAAAATGCAAGCAAACCACAGGAGGGATGTTTGCTACGGTTGAAATTACAGCTGCCTGATTGCATTGGCTCTGTGCTGGGTGATCATAACAAGCTCAAGGACCTTCCAGGAAGATTTTTGATTTTTAAAAAAGAAAATATGCACCAATAAGGGAAAAAGCAACAACACGGAGGATATGTGCTCAGGATAATCCTCTAAAAACTAAATCCATTGGAGTCCTTAGGAACAAAGAGCTGCAGAATTCCTCCTCCACTCCCAACCCTGAGCTGCTGGGTCAATTCTGCAGTCCCATGGCTTTGTTATTTAGCGTACTTAGGCTGGTGTGTCACGGCCAGGCATGAAACACCAATGGAAGAGACCAAATCTGAGCACAAGAATGAGAATTAGGGACAGTAGGAAAGCCCAGCAGAGCCTCCATCAGTGTTTCTGGACCCTCAACACGTGGTGAGATTGAGAGACAGAAGGTTTTAAGTTCTTAGTTATTCCTAGCGCAGGGAACCTGTGTAATGAGTTTATGATTTGATTTATATGTGGGTTAATTAGCCAGGTGTTTTAATGAAGAGGGAGAACGTCAGCGACTTCGGGCTTTGGAGCAGAGTCTTTGGGGCTTTGAGCACAAAGATGGCTAAAAATAAGGAGAACAACAGAGAAAAGTGAACACAGTGAATGGGACTTTTAGGAGCTGCAGGGAAAAGGCAGAAACTCCTGGCACACGTGAACCTTGCAGACATGGTAAATGTGATGCTCTCCTGCCCTCTCTGCTTTCCTTGCAGGGCTTCAGGCTGCTGAGGCTGAGAGCATTGCTTGGTTCTCAAGGGGAGAACGCAGGTTTGTGAAGGACAGCTCTGTGCTGTGCAATTAGAAGTGATGCTCTACAGAACTGGCTGAGCCAGGAGGATGCTCAAGTGCAATTGAACCCTAGGAGCCAGAAATGCCTCTGCTGCACATCTCTGTGCCATTGGCATGGGCACAGCATGACGCTGAGCCTGGCATCCCCCAGCCCCAGTCTTTGCCCTCCTCCTGTAATCAGAGTTTTACAAATCAGAAAATTGCACATTAATGCTTAGGTTTTATTCCTGTTCATCACCACCCAGCGCTGCTTGCTTATTATCTTAACTCCTCAGAACGATTTCTCCTCCCATCCCCACTGCTCACTTTATTCTTGATGGCTGCTCACGATGGTATTGAGCCAGCTGCGCCGTGGTTTGCAGCAGCACAGATTAACATTTCCACTTTAATTGCTGCCTGCCTGGGAAAATGCAGGCCAAGCTGTCATTCAAGCGATGCAATTGCACCATGGAAAGTCTTTTCATTTGCTGGTGCATCTGTTAAATGATTTCATGTGCTACAGGAGGGGGACAGCAAAGCTGAGACGACTCGGCGTGGGGAAGGGCTGCATGTTAGGTGGGAGCTGATGGCTAAATGTAGCTTGGGCTTACAGAATGCAGTGATTTAATTTGGAAGCTGGCAGCTTGGTGTACGCACTGCCCAAGAAATAAGAATGGCTCCCACGTGCAGCTCGAGAGCTTCAGGCTTTAAAATGTTAAATAAAGCATTAGCCAAATGCCATTGTTCTAGAAACCTTGCATCAAAGTTTGCAGATGACACAACGTTGGGAGAAAGGGTTGGCCTGTGTGAGGGCAGGAAAGTGCTGCAGAGGGATCTGGATGGGCTGATGAGTGACTGAAGCCAATGGCCTCTTCTCCCAGGTAACAACAGTAAGAAAGGCCTCAGGCTGTGCTGGGGAGGTTGAGGTTGGGCATTAGGAAATGCTTCTCTAAGAGTGGCGATGCATTGGCACAGCTACACAGAGCCATGGGATGGGTTGGGGTTGGACTTGGGCAGCTTAGACATCTTTTCCAACCTTGATTCTGTGATTCTATGGCCCATCCCATCAGGGGAGACAACGCACCGCCAAAGCCAGCCCACTCTGTCCCTGTGTAACAACCAGTGAAAGCAGGATGGTGAGCCAAAAGGACTGTGGGGTATGCTGTTTTGCTGTGCTGAATTGCTCTTCATCTCCTAAGACCTGATGTGAGAAACTCTAGCACCATAGATGGGTAAATATGGGGCCGAGCATTTGGGTGCAGCCCGGAGTCACAGCACTTCTCCAAACCTCACGATAATTCTCCTTTTCTCTCTGCAAGAGAGAAGCACTGCACCTCTGCTGCCTTCCCATCAACTGATGGGGCTTTTTAAAACATTTCCCAGGGCAATGAACCATGCAGTGGACAGCAGTGCTTTTTTCTTTACTTCTCCAAACTGCAGCACACTGCAGAAATGAAGGTTTTTCCCTTTGCTGGTGATCCCAAGTGCTTCCCAGCATCAAGGAAGCAACATCACAGCAGTGGCTGCATTTCCCTTAATCCGTCCACCATTTCCTTAATCCATTTCCCAGCTCCTCCAGCCTCACTTTTGCTCTTTTTGTTAAACACGAATCTTCTCTCCCGTTTTCCATTTTCACAGCCGTGTTGTGGAGGCTGATATGGAGACCCCTCCCGTATGGTCTCACGCTGCTGCTTTCCCACTCCACACACCTCTTCTGTTTCCATGTTCCTACCCAGGCAGCTGCAGGCTCGAGGCAGAGCTGAGGCAGAGGCTCTGCCCCATCTGCAGCAGGCAAACACGGACTTTGTTCTCCAGCACCGAGCTCCAAACGATCGCCTGGCGGAAATCTGCTCCATTTCTGTTCCATTTGGAGCTGCCGCTCGCTCTCTGCTGCTACAAGACGCATCACTGCAGGATCAGCCCCAGCTCTGCCAGCACTCCTGGAATGCCAAGAGATCCTGCCTGCAACCCCACTAACAATTTTCCGGAGACCCCCGCAGAACGTCCACCGAATTAAACCTTCCCGCACGGAGCTCCGCCGTCGATCTCGGCAACAAAGGCGAGCAGCAGGCGCCAGCAAAGGGTTAACTCCGGCTGTTCGCGTTTCTGCCTTCCCTCTTTCGGGCTGGGTCCCTGCCAGGAGGAAGCAGTTCAAGTTGAAGGCTGGTGGTGCGTGCAGCAGCATCGGGCGCATGTCTGCGCTCCCCAGCAGCCGGAGCGGGGAGGGTCTGGCAGGCAGCGAGCGGCCGCCCCGGGATGGCACAGGGCTCCGAGTGCCGAAACTCCCTCCTCTATTACTACAGCGTCAAATTCGCTTTGTCCACCTATGCCACTCTCTTCTCGGTAGGTGCTCGGGTTGCTTTGCTGTTTTTCCTGCTGTTGTTCCCCACGGTGTCACCCCCATGGGTTCAATTTCCACGTTCCAGTGTCTAAATTTCCTCCTTCCAGGAATCAAATCTCGACTATAAAACCTGGCGCTGTGCTGTGTGTTTCGCAGAGTCCCTCTTACATCAGCAAAAAAGAAAAAAAGGGTCCCAGCTGGTCCATAGTAGGGAAAACTGCAGCTTTTGATGCGTTTAAGAGCGCCGTCCTCGGACCGCCCACCCCCAGAGCAGCTCCTGGAAATGCCCTGTGGCAGCGAGCAGTGTTTCAAAGCACTCAGCAAACACAGATTTAACACTTTGATCACTCAAGGGGTCACCGGGCAGCAGTGCTGTTCTATTCCCTTCACGTGCTTTGATGGGGATGGGGCTGGAGCAGCTGGCAGAACCCATTGGTGTGGATGTGGCAGCGGTGGTTATTTGGACCAGGCTGGTTATTATGAGAGGAAAAGTAACTCTTATCGTTAAGCAGTTTCAAATCATTGAGGCAGATGTGATGGGGTGAGGCTTCCCCTGCAGCTGGAAGGTGTAAGCATGTGTTGAGGCCTGGGGAATCAGCAGGAAATCCCCCCACCAGAGCTCTGTGCACCAAATTCCATGTGAGCTTGGCACCTTCCTAGGGTTAACCTTGCATAATCCAGTCCATAGTATTTACAGGTATTTCCTCCTGACAGCTAATTAATCATCTTTGCCCCATGCACTCGTGCTGCCTGGGTGTGTGTAGTGACATGCGTGCCTAATTGTTTCAGAGTAATTGAATACACAAATATCTCTGGTGTTCCTGGGCAGGTTGAAGAGTAAATAGGGTTGCAAACAAAGCTTGAAAATGCCTCCCTCGCCCCTTATTGATTTGTTTGTTCTATCGGTGAGCTCATGGGAGGGCAGCTCTCTCTCCTGGGGTTGGAGAACTGCCTGCATCGTCTCATGGTGCCAGAAGACTTGTGCTCACCTCTGAGTGTGAGTGAGAGATTCATCACCACCCCCTGTCACTGGGGTTTTGTTTCCTGCACGGATCTGAGGTTTGCTTTCCTGGAAATGCCTTAAAGCAGCCGTAAGGATGAGGAAGAAGTGCTGTTTTGTTTTAATTCCAAGCTGCCTGACCGTAGCTCTTGGCTGTGCTTTGCAAATGCAGATTAGCGAGGGGATGTGCAATGCCATGCACTGATGGATGGGTGCACAGTGAGACAGGGCAGTCTGTGGGGTACACAGCAGTGTGTGGCTGGTCCAGCCTGCGAGCAAGAAGAGTCTCAGTAATTCCTCATTAACTGAAAAGTAGCTGCAAAAAGATGATTTGAAATGGCTCTGACTCAGCCTGCCTTTAACCAGGGATGTGTGTGCTCCCTGTGGACCCCAGGGAAGTCCCTGTGCTGGCCATTGCTCTGTTGAATCCACACAGATCTCACGGCCTTTCCAGCCCCCTGACCCAGTTCTGGAGATGCACGCAGTGACTGTGTCCATCCAGCAGCTCTCCCATCTCATTAACCAGACGTGACGGGGGGCTGTTTTGCTGCAGCCAAATGCACTCGATAGTAATTACTGTGCAGACACGTCGTGTTGCTTTGAGTGAAGGCCTTGAAAACGTAGCACCTCCCATGGAGAAGCATTCAGAATAATTCACTGGGAAGGACCGAGGAGACTTGGAAGAGGAGGTGATGTGGTTTTCTATCCAGCCTGCAGGGAATTGGTTCAACGGAGAAAAGAACAACATTGGATCCTATCCAGCCCTTTTCTGTAATGAAAGTAAATACATATAGGTGGGAAAATCAGCAAAGGAGTGTAGGGTAAACCAGAGAGTGGCTTGAAACCATTGCATGGGGCCAATTGCCCAGAGGTTGGAGGGCTGTGTGTTGGGCTGGAGCTTCCTATGGAGCACTGCTGTGAGCCCATTACAGCCCATTGCATTACCTTCCATTTCCCCCTTGAGGGTTTCATCATCTCCCAGAGCTGCTGGAGACCTGGTCTGCACTCCAAGAAAATAAGCAAAAGAGGTCTGTTACCCTGCAGGTAGCTCTGTTTTTTCATTTTCTCTGGATTGCATCTGCCAGGCATTGGATATTTGTGCTTATGTGATGAGAGGCAGAAGGTGTGTGACAGCCAGCATGCCACAGGCCTCCTGGCTGCTTTTATACCATCAGATTTAACACCATTCATCGTCCTGGCTGCTTGTCAGAGGTGGAGTAGCTCTGTTTTCAATTTTATTTCAAACGGGAGCATTCTGTTTTTCCATGTCTGAATGCAGTCAGTGTTTCCTCCCGCCTCAGTAGGATGGGGAGAGCGGAAACAAAAGGTAAAACCTATGGGTTGAGATAAAAACAGTTTAGCAGGACAGAAAAGGAAGGAAATTAGTAAGCATCACGGTGCGTACTCACTGTATCCTTTTTCAAGCAGAGGAATTCTTACTTCTAATGGATGAGCTACTGCTCTGTACTGGTGGGAAGGAAGATAGATTCTCTTTGAGTTGCTGAAGCTCTTGGGAATGTTTGTCCACAGCCAACACACAGACCCAGAGGGAGGAAGGGAGATTTTCTTTGTGTTGTTGAGGAATGACAGCTGTGTCATCCACCTTTGGCTTCTCTCTGTGTTTCCAGGCCATTGGTGCCAGTGAGTTGGGTTGGTAGGCATCTGAATCTTGGGATGGCTGCTCGTTGACCAGGTCAAAATCACACATCTCCTCCAGAACAGCCAATTCCCTCTGGTACCAGGCACCTTTCTCCACAGGTATTCATTTGTTTGGGAAACACACCAGGTCTCCCCTTCGTGGCTGACAAGAGTCGCCTCCGTAGGCAGAATGTTTGAGCCCTTTTTCTGGTCTCTTTATCTGTTCAGTTCAGGTCAGCTGTCCTGGTTCTGTCCCCTCAGCCCCTGTCCCCTCTGTCACATCATGAGAACCTGAGTTCTTTGTTTAGCATAAGCACTGCTCAGCAGTAACTAAAACATCAGCACGTTATCAATGCTGTCCTCATCCTAAATCCAAAGCGCAGCACTGTGCAATCTGCTAAGAAGAAAATTAACCCTATTCCAGCCAAAACTGGGACGCATCACCTGTCTGCCTGGGTTTGAAACCACTGTTGTGACTTTCGGTGATCCTGAATGAGGAGAAATTACTGCCTGCCATTAACATTGACTCATTAATGCTGATCACCCTGGGGAGAGCCATGCCTGCTGCTTGGCCCCTGGCAGGCTGCAAGGTTGCTCTGCTTTGGCAGGGATTCTGCCCTCAGAATCCCCCTGCTCTTTTTTTCTTTTTTTTTTTTTTTTGCCATCAGATAGAGCACTGTCTTTCTCCACAGTGGCAGTTTGATCCCACAGTGATTATGCAGAAATGGGATAATCATCCTCTCGTTAGACAGTAAGTGAAGGTTTGCTTTTTCTCTTGGATGCATTGCAGAGCGCTCATTATGGGCAGCTGCTGGCTGCCTTGGAGTTTGCACTGCGTTAAGGTGATCACCGGGCAGTTGGTGAGTAACTACAGAGGGTTTACTGACAGACTTCATTATGTACCTTAGCACGTCACTGAGCGCGTGTGGTACAAAGCAGCTGTGATGCCAGGAATCAGAAAGATCTGTGCTGGCTGAATTCATATGGCAAAAACAACCCCTCCAAGATGAACCCAGTGATGGAAACCAGAGCAGCCAGGCTTTGCAGGGAGTGGTGCAATCTCTTCCTGCTGCTTTCAGTGCTCTTCTTCTGCTGATGAGCTCATCTGTGAAGTGCATGTTGCTGCACAGGTCCTAGCAAAGGCTTTGGCACTGCCAATTTGCTCCATAATCCACTGTTTCTCAGTAGAAACATTGCTTTCAGGGAATTTTTTTCTCCAGCTATTTTTCATCAAAATCCCTTTGCCACCCTTCAGTTCCCTCTTGTCCTTAGAGCATCAATCCCCTCTTGTCCTTAGGAAACTCATTATATTCCTGGCTTCACTGTTAATTCCTTGCAGTCTCCCATTGCTGAGAGAGGTTCTGGTATATCCATCCCTTTCCTCAGGGTGTGCGTTGTTCTGTGAGGTGCCTTCTCATGCCTGAAGGTGCTTTGAGGAGCAGCAACTCATCTCATTTCTAACTAGAAGTTCCAGCCTGCAGTGGCGACCCTTAGCAGAACAGGTTGCAGAATGCTGAGGGACTTCATAAGCCAAGAGCTGAGCAGAGAGAGGTGAGAAATTCAGGCAGAGCAGCTGAGCATTTGCTAATTTTGGTTCTTCCAGTTCACTTGTTAGTCTTGGGTAAGAGAAAATTTGGAGGTGTGTGCTCAGGGTTGTCTGGGACTACGGTGATGCTGGGAGGAAGGACTCCTGCATGCCACGTGCTTGGAATGTTTCAAGGAGCAGTTCAGCCCTGGGAAACCCAAACAGTTCAGCCCTGGGAAGGCTGTTGTTAAGCAATGCATCCTGAAAACCCTCCTTGTTTTCTTTCCCTTGGTAGCAGATGAAGCCCAGTCTGTGTAAGATGCGTCATCTGTCCCTTGAGTGCCCAGCCTTCAGCCCCACTCCTGGGTTTCTTTTATATGTTTTCCTGGCCTCTTCCCTAATTTGCATCACAGATAATGAATTAAAAAGGAGAAAGTGTTTCTGATTGGCATGCAGGAGGAGCAGTGGAGATTACAAGCAGAGTGTGCACATCTAACTCCTGGGATGTGCTGTAAGAGAGAAGCATTACATCAAGCCTAATCCCAGTGAGCCAAGCTGGTGCTTAAAATAAAGGATAAAGAAGGAAATGGATGAAAAGCCTGCTATCAGGAATAGGCCCACCTGTTTAGATATTTGCAGCTGAACAGTCTGCAAATATCACAGATCTGGACTTGACTTTCTGGGAGATTTCAGTTTCTCTGTAAGTGAGATGTAGCCTGGGAGTGGACAGGGATGGCTAAACATAAACTGAGTACAGTAACTCCACAAATAGAGTCCAGCCAGAGTAGAGAAGAAAATAAATCATTCCTCCGAAAGGATTGTGCAGGAAAATTAAGGATTGAGTCGGCAACACAAATTAACCAGAAGGGTTTGAGTGAATTCGTTAAGGAGAAATGGAGCCTCTTGGAAAGGTAAAGCAATGGAAAAAGGAGTGAGAAGAGGGGGTTTTCTCCTCGTTGAGCTGAGGCTTTCCTGCAGTATTTTCTCACTGAGATGCAGGATGGTGGAGCTGCAAAAAGCAGCAGGAAAATCACATGGGATGCTCCTTGCTTTCCACTCTGACCTTTCCAGGAGTCAGCTTCATGCTGGTTGTGCTGGGAATGGCTTCTGACAGCTCCGAGCGCTTGGAATCTCCGTGTTGGCTTTCATCTGTAGGAACCAAAGAGATGAAAATAGCCCTTTTCAGAGCCCTGTTTTATCCTGGCACCCTTGGGCTCTCTTTTCCAATTAGGGCTGTTTTATTGGAGAGAGGGGAGGAAGATGGTCGTAAATAATCCGTTGCTACATTTGATGATGTTTTTCATCCATGACACAAAGACCGAGTGGCTTGCCGTGGGTTTTGGTACAAGGTGGTGCTTGAGGGAGGTGCTGGAGTGAAATGAGTAATTTGGGGGACTGGTCTATAGGCTGGCAGTATTGCTGTATACAGCCCAGGGTCTGTAAACCCAGGGCAAGGGTCAGCTTGAGCAGCCAGGTGCATTGGGTGAGATGGGGAAAGGAAAAACCTTGCAAAATGCAGCTCCTTTGTGAGGGAGATGTAGGGCTGCCATGGAGGGAGATGGAACCCTGATGGAACCCCATTTTCTATCAGTCACCCTTTGGGTCTGAGCCATCAGCTCACCCATCGTGTTATGTTTTTATCTAGCAGTACACTGGACATTTTTCTTCCTCTGGGATCTCTTCCACCTCCACCTTTTCCTCAGAGTTTCTGATTTTTTCCCTTTGGCATCTGATGCACGGCTCACACTTTTCCTCATAGATCATCGGCCTCGTGATCCTGTGCATTGGGATTTATGCCGAAGTGGAGAGGCAGAAGCACAAAACCTTGGAAGGGATGTTCCTCGCTCCAGCCATCATCCTGCTCCTGCTGGGCTTCACCATGTTCAGCGTCTCCTTTGTCGGCATGGTGGGGAGCCTCAGGGACAACCGGACACTTCTGAAGATAGTAAGGCTGGCGCTGCTGCCGGGTTGGTCTGGTTGGTTTCAAGGAGGGAAATTAACGTATCCTAATGAGTCACTACCATGAATTACAGTAAGGGTGTGCCCCTCGATGCTTTTAGCTCGGCCGTGAAGCCAGTGGACAGTAATGGGGAAAGGTTATGTGTACAGATTGCAGAGCTGGCAGCCAGTTATCCACATCGTTGGGAAGCTGCTGCCTTCCTCCTGGGGCAGCAAGAATGCCAACAGAATCATAGAATGGCTTGGATTGGAAGGGGCTCCAAGGATCATCGAGTTCCAACCCCCTGCTACAGGCAGAGCCACCAACCTGCAGATCTGGTACAAGACCCCAGCAAGGAGCTTGAGGCTGCAGGAGTTTATAAGCTATGTTATAAGCAAATGCCTGCAAATGGGGACGTAGCTCATCCATCATGCTCAGCCCAGGCTGGCGTCCACTGACAAACTCAGTGACAGCTCAGTTGGTTTTTCAGCTGTGACCAATGCTCTCTCAGTGAGGAAGATGCTTTGGATGAATATTCTGTGCTGGTCTACAGAGCCTTCCTGCTGGTGTGTGTGTGCCTTGCATGCTAATGACCCCCATAACAGCCTCCCCTCCCACTGATTTGAGCTGATTCGCTTATTAAAATCAAACACTGGGAAGCTAGCACTCCCTTCCACTGCCTTGCAATATTGCTTTTAAAAATTGCTCAGCATTTGCATCTCAAATTAATACTGATCGGGAAGCCCGTGTTGTCTTTGCTCCCGTGTTACTGGCTGAAAATATCCTTGCTTTCCAATGCATCTTGTTTCATGCCACGTGTGGTCGGTGGTGGTTTGCACTGCATTGAGGAGGGGGGCTGGGATGGAAGCTGCTCTCTGTTGCAGTGTGATATCGTGTGCTCTGCTGGAGAGCTCTGGACGAGTCACCTCCTGACCTGTGTTTGAAGGAGTCTCTAAATTAGTGGCCAGCCCAGTCCTGCCCAGGTATTTAATTGTGGTATTTAAGTAGCACCGATAGCTTGCTTGCTAAAAATAATCACAGTTTTCAATTAATTCCCTATCAAATTAATTTTATCTTTCTTTGTGAATTCCACGTTATCCCTGGGCTGACTTATATCTCTAGAACATAACCCTCTTTTTGCTGTCCACCCAAACAACAGGAAAAGCTCTGTGTTTCTTTATGCCATAAACCCAGATGACATTTTTCTGCCAAAGCTGAAGTTCTGTTGCTTGTCGAGTAAATTACATCTTCTTTTTTCCTCCATCTCACTTTTCACTACATGGCATTGTGTGCATCCTATCGAGGATTATTCCAAAGAAGGATAATTACTTCAAATTTCTGATAATATCTTCCTTTCTCTGCTAATACTTCCTTAAGTTTCACTGCTAATACTCTTTTTCTTTGGCTGACTTTAGAAGTGGGAAATTGACACATCAGAGGGTAGGAACTGTCATCCTTGTAGCAACCGGGGCCAACAGAAACCCAAGCTCATTAACTGCATTTCACAGCTTGTCAGTCAAATCAATTCTGTAGTGGCACAGCGGAGACAAAAGTAATCCTGCCCATTTGGGTTGCTTTTGTCTCCCTTTAGATATAACCAGCTTCACGCCTGCTGTGCAGAATAAATAAAGTAAAGCATGCACAAGTTATCAAGCACAACAACCCTTGCAGCTCTTTTGGCTAGGATGTAAGAAGGGGGATGTTGACTTTGTGCGTTGAAATGCATTGTGAGTTTGGTTTTTTTAGGGTTACTCAAGGCTCCTTGGTCAATTGTTGTTGGCTGCAGAGTGGCACAAATGGCCCACAGTCACATCAACGATCCCTTTTCTAGCAGCAAATAGGGGAAATGATATTTCTGGCAATGAATCAAGCCTAGTTCCCTGCCTTTGAGCTGAAATGCTGTTTCCTCTACAGATCTATTCAGCTTGATGAGCATCAGCACAAAGAAGATAAGGTGACAGCAGGCTTTCCCAGTGGAGGTGCACTTTACCCAGCAGAAGCTCTTCATACCATTAGCTTACAACACTTCCCTAGTGAGACTGGAAGGACCATTGATGTTAGCATGGTTTTGTGGCACTGAATTAATGCCTTTTTGTGCTTTCACCAGCTCATATCAACAAAGCATGTTGGCAGCCCTGGAACTCTCCATTGTTTTTATGTTGGAATTGTGCATCAGTGTTTCTATCCATCATTCAGAAGTGAGTGCTCAGGCCGTGAATCTGTAGGAAGTTTACAGCTGCTGAATTTGGAAAGGCTCCTTTCAATTCTTCCTTGGTTGCATTCAGAGAGGACGTGGTCTCCCGTGCACCAACCCATTGAGGGTCGCTTTCCTTCTTTCCTTTTGCAGAAATGATTTCATACCTTTTTTTTTCTTCCCACATTTCTCCAGGCAGAGCCTTGAAAAGACATTATTCACATTATTCCTTAGTGAACTTTGCAATCAATTGACCTCGGGTGGGAATTTGATGATGCAGGGACCACAGAGAAGGGAGGTCGACCCTGAGCTCCAAAAGCAGGCTCAGGGCAGACCCTGGAGAATGTGCAATAAGACAGAATAAAATGGTGTGTATTGATGATTATGGAAACTCAGTGCATGATCCCCAAAGAGACACGTGGAGAAGTGCTGTAGCTGGCTGGAACACACATACCTGCCATTTCCTGGGACCACACACTCACAGTGATGAGCAAAAATATTGCTCTGAACTTAAAATCACTGATAAAAACGGAATTGCCTCTACGTCTAAAAATATGCCTTGCTCATTCAGAGAGCAGTAAGTTCTTCTCTATTTAGGAGAAAATATTTCTGTGCCCCACGAAAACCCGTCAGCTTGCACCTGAATAGAAACACTAACACACAATTCCAACACGAGCACCATGGAGGGGTCCAGGGTTGGCCAACGTGTTGGGAAGACTTGCACTTAAAAGTGGGTTGGAAGCTTCTGCTTCAGCAGCAAGTTTTCATTTGCTGTTCCAGGCTTGAATAATCGGAAGCTGTCTGATAAAGACAGCCTGCTTCTGTTCTCAGCAAGTTCAGAACGGTTCAGCAAATTGATTCTAAAATCAGCATTGCTCTCACTCAGCAAGATGGCTGTGGGAGCTGGGTGGGTTTGGTGTAAGGTCTGGAAATGCCATGGGACAGGCTGCTCCCTGCATCTCTTGCACTGGGATCAGCCCAGCTTCTGCAGATTTGCATTTGTTCTATGCAGTGCAAGAGAGAAACAAAAGCTGAAGTAGGAGCAGAAATCCAACTTGCCTCCCTTCTTTTGGGGAGCCTTTTGGGTCCCTCTTTTTCTGCCTTGTCACACAGGGCAGGATTTGACTTTGGGTCTGCAGTCTTTGGGTTTACAGGATCAGCTGCTGTGTTCACTCTTCTGGACTTCTCAAGTTATATGTATCCATATATGTGTGTGTATATACATAAACATGTGTAAATACAGATATATTTATTGATCTATGTGCTGTTTCCAAGGGTAAGCAGTGCCAAGATGTGAAAAGCAAACAGGCAACCGCTTGCAGCTTTGACTTTTATTTAATTTGCTTTTTTTTTTTCTTATTATTTTACCTCTGAGGCCAGGGCATGACTTCCAAAGCAGGGCTTGGAGTGTGTCTTTTCCCTTTACAGCTTCTGATGGCACGTGTAAATGTGTAAATAGGGAGATTAAATGCTAGCGAGTGTCTCCGTTTCAGGTTTGGGAGAGGGGAGCGAATTTGGAGAGGGAGCAAACTCTGTGGGTGGCAATCACAGAGCTATTGTGTGAGTGGAGAATTGTCCTCCCAGCAAGATAAATTCCCCCCTGAAGATAGTCAGATACTACAGTGATTTGAAGCTTTGTGGCCCTCACTGTTTCTGAACAAAAGCAATCAGAGGGGCCGTGTGTGAAGGAGCACTCTGAGATCTGAGTGGGGCTGAGCAGCTGGTTTTGTTCCCAAGCAGATGGAAAAAAAGGGCAAAAATGACACAGAAAACCTCTGTTGCAACGGAGCCCTGCAGAGCATCCCTCTGCCACATCGCCAGCACTAATTCATTACCAACAGCAGCCACTTCAACCAGCAGATGTGAAACCATCAGTGAGTGGCAACTTCCACTCGTTTTTTTCCACATCTGGAAGCACTGCGTAAAGCAATTTAAAGGAAGTGGTGCTTGTGGGTGCACTGCTGGCATTCCAACTCCTCATATATTTGATTCAGGCTAATTCCACTTGGTTCCATGGTTCTTAGTTGGGGCAAAGCATTTGTGTGGGGTACCCGGTTCAGCAATTAACTGTGGGATGCTCAGCTCCAGGCCAGCAAAAAGAAGCAGTCCCTTGAATATCTGCTGTAAAGAAACACTTCTGAGGGCTGCAAGCAGGCACTGCTATCCCTGTGCTATGCTGGGTTAGGTTTGGGGTTTAGGGATAGGGTCAGAGTTAGGGATTAGGGTTACATTTGGGATCAGGGTTAGGATTGAAGTTGGGGTTAGGGTTAGGATTAGAGTTTAGGCAGAGGTGTTAGGGATGGGGTTTAGGGTCTAGGGTTTAAGGTTAGGCTTTGAGCAAGGCAAAAGGTTTGTCCCTGCTGCCGTGGCCATGGCAAGAGGCCCCACTGCTTGCTTTGTCCCATTGGATGCTGTTTCAAGCAGGGCTGATGCAGATTTCAGAGAAATGGCTGCAAATTTGGATTGCAAAAGATGAAGGTTTGGGGGCTCCTCAAAACTAGTGTGAATTTCTAATTGCTACACATAATAACTGAGAGAGCCTTGCAGTCACTGGGCTGGCAGCTCTCTGTTGGCCTGGCAATGCACTGTGTGGGATATTAAACACCACAGCCAGTGGAAGATGGGATAAGTAAATGCTCCTTCTGGTTGCAGCATTACATGAGAAAAGCTGCCACGCAGCTGCATCCAGTGTTGCAACTGCTGGTGCAAGCAGGTCACCAGGACTTTGTCCTCCTTCTTTTTCTCCCTGTAGGTTGAAGGTTAACTGCAGCACGCCTCGTGCAAATCATCACTGCAATCTCCTATTGCTCTT